TGCTGCCACTCATCACACTGAACCCTCACTGCCCACGTACCGCTGGTCTCCCAACCCCGTCTGGGCTGGCCACCATCCCAGCCTCTGTGCTCAGTCAGCACTGGCTGAATAAAGGAATAAACAGTTTTGTATTCTGGACAGGGGAGCAGTCCACTCTCCGTAAAGCACAAAAACCCCCTGAGGACCTGCTCTTGGTACTACCACCACCTGGATACATACAGCTGCGCAGGTAGAGCCCTCAGGGGAGGGCTGGGACCAATGGGGAGAGAGGTGTGTGTGCGTGTGTGCATGTGTGTGCGTGTGTGCGTGTGCATGTACGTGCGTGTGTGTGTGTGTGTGCATGTGTGTGTGGTGAGGTTGTTCGTGGAAGACAAATTCCAGTTTAATGTAAACAGAGGCTTTTTCTTTCCAGGCAGGGTTGGGGGTACCTAGAGAGAAATGAGCTCTGTGGAGGGGGGGGTGCAAGTGGGGATGCTCACCGGATAGGGTGGCTACTCAGAAATGCCTAACAGTCAGTCCCCAAGGTTCCTGGAAGACACCCCCTACTCCTACTACACCCCCCACCCCCCCACCCCCCGCCACACACACTCGTATCCCCAAAGAGTCCGGTGGGAGAGCGCCCAGAAGAGGACAGAAAGACGTCTCACCTCTCCAGGGGCCAGTGCAGCCGTTTCCAGCCCGGGTAGGCGGCTTTGGCCTCGGTGCCGCCACCAGTCACGCGGGCCTGTTTGGCGGCCTGAGCCGAGCGCGTGTCCAAGACGAAGCCCCGGGCCCCAGGGCGAGCCCCCGCCAGCACAGCTCGCAGCAGCTCCTCGTCCTCAGCGCAGCGCCTTTTCTGGGGACCAGTCAGGGGCTGGCTGGAACGGAGCAGCACCTGCGGACGGGGACGCCACTCCGGAAGCCATAGCCACCCAGCCCCGGCCCGGGGACGTCGCTCGGGGAGCCCCTCGGGAGCGTCTACACACTAGGGCGGGTCTAGAGCCTGGCAGGGGCGGGCTGGAGCGCAGGGAACCTAGCCGCGGAACTTACAAGGCGCAGGGCCCGGGCTTGGGTGGGGTGTAGCCGGAGGGGAAAGGGACCCGAAGAGTAGACCTTGGGCGGGTCCAGGGTTGACGAAGACCGGGCTAGGCTCCAGGGACCCGAACGGCCGGGGACCCGTCCCAGATTGGCAAGACTCCGTCTTGGGACAGAGGGGCGGGGTCAGAGTCCGGGGAGGGCAGAGGGAACGGAGGGGGCGGGGCCAGAGAGGGCAGGAGCCTGGGAGGCCAGCGCGCCGCGAATTGGCCGGGCCAGTGCAGAAAACGGCCAAGAAGGGCCGCAGTTGTTCCTAGTGGCGGAGTCTGGGGACGCGCGGGCTCACGGTGCCGCTGGGAGCGTGGTGGTAGCTGAGCACAGGGAAGCGGCCTCCCTGGCGGAAGCGGGCGCAGCGCGCCAGGGCATCGTCGTCTACCGCGCGAGGCACGATCACGGCGCGGGGGTAACTGGGGCACAAGCTGAAGTCCCCGTTCACCTCGCTCAGCCGCCACGCGTTGGTCTGCGGCGCAGGGAGAGGCGAAGGCCAGGTTAGGGCACTCAGTGAGCGCCCGGTCCTCACGCCCCTTCCAGGCCCGGCGCTCGCACAACCGCGGGCCCCCACGACCGCACCCACCTCGCGAGCTACTCGCTTGTAGTAGCGTTCGGGTGGGTGGAAGTGCCAGGCGTCGCCCAATCTCAAGCCCTTGGGACGGTAGAAGAACGGAAAGGAAGTGATGACCGATTCCAAGGACGACAGCGCCTGGGGAAGGAAGTCGGGGGATCTGGGCAAAGTCGAAATCTTCTCACCCGCGCGCTCCCGGCCCCTGCGCTCCGCAGCTCCCTCCTCTGCAAGTACTCTAGACCACCCTGCATCCCTTGCCATTAGCTGTGTCCCAGGATAACACTGGATGCTGAGTCTCCCTGCGCAATAGCCCCTGTTTACTCCCGAGTCGTTACGAAACAGGGGTAGCTTAAGGGCCTCGGGAGCACCGCCGGCGTACCTCGATGGAACGGGCGATGTCCAGCGTGGCTTCCACGCCCTCTATGTCCAGCTGCAACACTCGCAGGTCCTTACAGCGCAACGTGATGGTGCCGGAGTCACCCGAGACCCTGGGGATGGACGGGCTTAGGCTTAGTATCCCCCGCCCCCCACCAGGGGAGGAGAAACGAGTTTATTCGGATTGGACGCAGCGCAAGGGGGCACCAGTTCCAACCGCGCTTGCCCTTCCCCCTCCTCCGCGGAGCCGCAAGCTCCGCAACTACGGGGACGCCCCCGCCACGGCTCACCGCTTCTCGATGGAGTCTACCCTACGCAACAGCAGCAGCCACAGGTCTGAAGTCGCCTGGGGCCCCGGCGACAGCAGCAGGTGGTGGCCGGTGACGCATAGCGTGCCACGCAGTGGGGGCGCCTCCGGACCCCGCAGGAGCTTGGCTTGGGCCCGGCCGGTACGGATCAGCTCCGAGAACTCCATTCCGTCTGTGGTGGGCCTGGGGCCCAGCAGAAGGACAGACTCCCGGAGCGTCAGGCGGGGCGAGCGCGGGCTCCGAAAGGGACAGGAACTGGCTGGGCAGCTGGCGACGCCGGCAGGACAGCTGTTAAGGAGGCCCCTTGGAGGAAGGGATCGGACAGTTTCACAGGAATTTCCCCCTCCTGCTGCCAGCACCTCTGAGCGAGGACGCCGGCCAGAACCTGTGAAGGAAATCTCAATTTCATCTATCTGTGACATGGGGAGAATAATCTTGCTTAAAGCCCTTCACCTCGTGCCTTGTTCTCAGTGGCACTCAACATTTTTGGGGGGTTTTTTTGTTTGTTTTGTTTTTTAACCTAGGAGCTGGCACTCTCACTGGCTTAAAAAAGAAAAATTACCGTCTCTTCTTTTGTACCCTGGTGGAAGGGGTGGAAAGGGTGGGTGTGAAACTGGGAACTGTCTGCTTCCTTCCCCTACATCTGAGGCTGGGTGGGGGAAATCCCTTAGTCCACCTTAAATGGAAGCAGCTGTGTAGCTGGTGCCCCTCCCCCACCACAGCTGGAAGTCCCTGCCTGAGGGCGCCCTCTACGGGGGCCACTCCTGGCTTAGTCCTGCCCTCTCCTCTCACTATCACTCCATCCTTCAACCAAATATGAATTGCCCATACACCGAGCTGGCCCCTGTATAAGGACACAAAGATGACTGAGGAAGGTTCTGTTCATTGGGATTTTCCGATTGGCAAGAGACACACCCAAGCTGGTAAACTACAAGAGGTGAAAGGATTTACTGGAGGACCCATCCATCCATCTATCCATCCATCCAATTATTCTTTCATTTCTTTTTTTTTTTAATTCTTTCTTTTCTTAAACACTGATGCCTACACTGTGTTAAGTGCTGATTACTAAGAAGAATAAGACAGACACCTGCCTTCAAAGGGCCTTTTGGGGGGCGCCTGGGTGGCTCAGTCGTTAGGCGTCTGCCTTCGGCTCAGGTCATGATCCCGGAGTCCTGGGATTGAGTCCCGCATCGGGCTCCCTGCTCGGCGGGAAGCCTGCTTCTCCCTCTCCCACTCCCCCTGCTTGTGTTCCCTCTCTCACTGTGTCTCTCTCTGTCAAATAAATAAATAAAACCTTAAAAAAAAAAAAAAAAAGGGCCTTTTGGTCCACCAGGTTCCAGGTTTGTGTGGGTGTGCGTGTGTGCAAAACCCTTCTTTTAAAAAACACACGCACAAAAAGAAAAGAAATCATAGGTGGACACCCATAATATAAACATAAAATCGGAATGATCTGTGAAAGGAACCAGACATAAAAGAGTATGAATTGTAAAATTCCAGACCAGCTGGGATGGGAATTAATTAGAAATGCAAATTATCAGCCCCACCCCCACCACCACGTGTCTCCTTAAACACGTTTTCCAGGAGATTTCCACGCACACTAAAGTTTGAGAACCAGGGGCACCTGGGTGGCTCAGTTGGTTAAGCGTCTGTCTTCTCTCTTCGGCTCAGATCATGATCCTGGGGTTGAGCCCTGCTCAGCAGGGAGACTGCTTCTCTCCCTCTGCCTCTTCCCAGCTTGTGCACGTGCTCTCTGTCTCTGTCTCTCTCTCAAATAAATAAAATCTTAAAATCCCAAAACACATTTAAAAAAAAATAAAGTTTGAGAACCATTAGGAAGTACACAAAAAGGCAAACTAATGGTAGCTGTCAGAGATTGGGAGAGTAGTGACAGGCCAGGGGCATTCCTGGATGCCAGTAATGCTCAGTTGTTCCATCTGGGTGCTGGGTACACAAGTGGGTTTAGTTTGGGAGAATTCAGCAAGGCTTGTCATTACTTACGATGTGTGAAATTTTCTGTGTGTCTGGTATTTTTCTTTCTTTTTTTTTTTTTAAAGATTTTATTTATTTATTTGACAGAGAGAGACACAGCGAGAGAGGGAACACAAGCAGGGGGAGTGGGAGAGGGAGAAGCAGGCTTCCCGCGGAGCAGGGAGCCCGATGCGGGGCTCGATCCCAGGACCCTGGGATCATGACCTGAGCCAAAGGCAGACGCTTAACAACTGAGCCACCCAGGCACCCCTGGTATTTTTCAATACAAAGTTTAAAAAAGGGAACAGCTCTGGTTGAAGCCCTGGGAGGGGCAGGGAGAGGGAGGGTCTAGGAGCCCATCTACGGCTCTGCCCTTATCCCATACATAGTCCTTGAGGGATTTCCAAGGGAACCTAAAGGTCCTTAGAGTACAGCTTGAAATTATTTATCTGTCCCAACAGAGAGTCCGTGACATGTCCAAATGTCATGAGGACAGAGGGCAGCTCATCAGCCTTCTATCCATTCCCCACCCCCCTTAACTTGGGTCTTGGGAAGAAGGCCAAGACTCTAGTGTGGATGATGCTTTTCTCATCCTGGAGCAACTTCCTTTCTGGGAACAGGGTGTCTCCTTTTGGGCAAAGACAATAAAATTCATCCAAGGGGCCGGAGGAGCAGGGCTCCTCCTGCCCTTATCCGGATGGCATCACGTGGCTCCGGGTTAGCAGGCCAGGAAAATCCCAGCCCTTGCACACTCAGCCTCCCATACCTCTCTATTCACCCACCCTGACACACTCGGCCTCCCTGACCCGCCCTGAACATTCACCATCACACACTCCCTGGCACAGTTCTGTCACCCTCGGCTCCTGCGGTCACCCCCCAGCCATACTGCCAGCCTTTCCCAGAGCTGTAGCCTTGCCCCGTCACTCACCCCAAACCCACCATGTCCCTGGGGCCACTGGAATTCCAGGCAGTGGGGGAAGAAAATGAAGAGGATGAGGAGGAAGAGAGCCTGGACTCTGTGAAGGCCCTGACGGCCAAGCTGCAGCTACAGACGCGGCGGCCCTCGTATCTGGAGTGGACAGCCCGGGTCCAGAGCCAGGCGTGGCGCAGGGCCCAAACCAGACCTGGGCTGGGGGGCCCCGGGACCCTCTGCGGCTTCGACTCAATGGACTCTGCCCTTGAGTGGCTCCGCCGGGAGCTGGTGAGTCGGGTGGGGTGGGCAGTCATCCTTAGGACCCGAGAACCAACCGTGGGTGTGGGGAGGGGATGAGGATGGACCTCACCTCCAGCAACTGCCCTACTCCTGTGGCTTTGTCCTGGGGCTAAGGAGCCGTGAATGGACCTGTCCAGTGATTTATTCAGGGAGACTTGCTGAAGCAGGATTCCAGCCAACCTACCTACTACCGACCTCTCCTGTGGCTCTGGGGACAGAGCCCTGCCCTTCGGGGCCACCAGTCATAGATGGGGAAGGCATGGCCTCCCCTACTCTGGGAATTGCTATAGCACAAAGGTGCAGTGCAGGACAAAATGAGGCACTGACCACACTGTAGGCAGAACCTGCGGAGACCAGCATTACTCAGGTGGCTCTTAACCCAGTACGTGCAAACAAAAGGATGTCTAGCCTCTAAATTGGAGACTGCAGTTTAGTTGACCTGTATTTGTGTAACAGTCGCTCCTTAGTTTTAGAGCAAGATCTGAGCGATGCGGAGGGATCAAGCTGGGGCGAGAGGGGGTGGGGAGACCCAGGCGGTGCAAAGACCCAGGTGTTGACAGGAAGGGAGGACTGGCGCGAGCGGCTGCGGACCAGTGCGCAGTCTCACGCCCCCTCTCGGCCGCAGCGGGAGATGCAGGCTCAGGACCGGCGGCTGGCGGGGCAGTTGCTTCGGTTGCGGGCCCAGCTGCACCGGCTGAAGGTGGACCAAGCCTGTCACCTGCACCAAGAGCTGCTGGACGAGGCGGAGCTGGAGCTGGAGCTGGAGCTGGAGCCGGGGGCCGGCCTCGCCTTGGCGCCGCCGCTGCGGCACCTCGGCCTCACGCGCATGAACATCAGTGCCCGGCGCTTCACCCTCTGCTGAGGGGCACCTGCGTGCCTCCTGAGACCCGCTGGGAAGGAGGAAGGGAGGGGTGCCTCAAAGGCGCCAGCACCTGGCAAGGGGTGGTGGGAGGGTTGGGGGGTCACTCAGTTCTCTGGGAGTATAAAGCCCCAGCATCCTGTCAGCCCTGCTGCCCTAGCTTGAGGAGGGGATGTTGGAGGAAGGGGAGAAGCTCACAGACCGCCCCCCGCCCCAACTCTTCAATAAAGGCCCTCTCTGCTTCCATCAAGGTCTCTGCAGTCATTTATTCAGGCCCAAGGTCGCTGTGTGTTTATCTGTAGCTGGGGCCAGGGATTCCACTGCCTGGGTTGGGGTGGAGATGAACGGATGGATCCCCATCTCTCCCTCAGCTCCAGCACTGTCTCGCCCTCTTATCAAGTTCAGAACTGGGCGAGAACCTGAAATCCTAAATCACCCCTATGACAGGTGACAGGTCAAGGGGCAGCTGAAGAATGCAGGACCTGGTGGACCTGAGTTCCAAGCCAGCTCCACTGTGCATTTCTTTTCTTTTTTCTTTTTTCAAAATATTTTATTTATTTGAGAGTCAGAGAGAGAGAAAAAAAAAAGAGAAAGCCCGAGTAGGGAGAGGGACAGAGGGAGAAGCAGACTCCCTCTGAGCAGCCAGCTGGATGTGGAGCTCCATCCCAGGACCTTGAGATCAGGACCTGAGCTGAAGGCAGACAGGTTCACTGAGCCACCCAGGCGCCCCTCACCACGCATTTCCATCAGACCTTGAGGAGGTCCCTGCAGCTGTTTGTTTACCTCTCAGCTGGAAACGCTACTATGCTACTTCTACTGCACAAGGAGTTGGGGATGTCTTCAGTGAGACAATGCTTAATAACACTCAAAACCGGGGCGCCTGCGTGGCTCAGTCGGTTAAGCGTCTGCCTCCAACTCAGGTCATGATCTCAGGGGCCTGGGATGGGCTCCCTGCTCACTGGGGAGTCTGCTTCTCCCTCTGCCCCTGCTGCTCCCCCTGCTTATGCTCTCTCTCTCTCTCTCTAACAAATAAATAAATAAAATATTAAGGTGCACCTGGGTGGCTCAAATGGTTGAGAGTCTGCCTTCAGCTCAGGTCATGATCTCCAGGTCCTGGGATCGAGCCCCACATCGGGCTCCCTGCTCAGAGGGAGTCTGCTTCTCCCTCTGCGTCTCCCCCTGCTTGTGCTCTCTCTGTCTCTCTCTAATGAATGAATGGAATCGTTTAAAAAATAAAAAGAATAAATAAAAATAAAAAAATCTTAAAAACAAACCAACAGTCGAAACCCACGAACCGTCTCTTGCTTATCCTTGCTCTCACCCCTGGTAGTGGTACTGCTGTGCGGAGGCCCGGAGACGGGCCGGGCAGGGCTCTGGGTCACTCTGTGGGTTTTTTAACATTGCGTCTCCTCAGCCTTTGTTTCTGTAGCACCCGCTTTGTCTGACTTTCCAGCTCAGGCTTCCTCTTCCTCCCCCCATTTCCTGTCTCCCCCTTCCCTCTGTAGCTGAGGTGCACAGAACATCAGCTTCCACCTCACAAACCCCAACAATGCTCTGTGGGCTCCCCTCCCCCAGCCTGCTCACTGAGTGTAGGCTCCCGTGGTGGTGACTGTGACACATCTATACTTTCCTGGGGCCGGGGTGGGGGGGGGGGCTGGAATGGCAGGGCCCAGCCCTGGTGCCTCATAGAAGCCACCCAGGGTTCCTCATAACACCGGTAACCTGGCCCTTAGCCTGTGATGGGTGCCACCCTCAGCCTGGCCCCAAGGGAAAGGGAGATTCTGGGCCTGCTTGCTGCCTGTGACTAGGTTCCTGTCTCCTGCCTCCAACAGAAAGGCCTACCAGTCAGTGGCCTGCACCTGGGAGCCGGGCAGGAGTGTTTGTCTTGTCTCTCACCTGTTGCAGAAGATGGTGGCAGGCCCTACATTTCTCGCAGGGGCTGTGGCTTGCCTCTCCCTGAATTAGAAGTCTCGCCCTAATTAGTGGGTGTGATCCTGTCCTCTGCCCACAGCACGGGCTGTAACCTGGTCTCTTGAACGGGGTTCAAAGGGGTTGTCCTGCCTGCTTCCTTAAACAGCTTGCTGTCCAGCATTCTGTCTCTAAGGAGGGTGTTAGCTCCCCTCTGACTCTAATAAAGTTACCGTCCCTTGCCCTGAGATGACATGACTGTCGTTAGGCCGCCATGTTAGCCTGACATCTGACTGTAACATATGGTGTTCGGCTCCCCAACTGTTTAGCGGGGAGAGGGTTCTCTCCTCTGACTCTGAAGTGGGGTTATCTTTGCCTTCTCTAGACTGTAACGAAAGGGTCACTCAGCTTTCAGACCGTGACAGCGGTGCCACTTGTCCTTCACCAAAAGCTGAGTGTATGTCTGCCTGCCCCTTGCTCACTGGGGTATAAAGGCTGCCCTTGAATCTCTCGTCCAGGTGCACCCTGGGGGCAGGAGGGGAGGTTCCATTAAAGATTCTCTCTTCAGCTCCAAGTCCCCCCCTCAGGAGAGATCTAGGACCCCCAGGGGCTGAGGAGTGGGGGGCTATGGCAGCAGGAAGCTTGGGGTGCTGGAGGCTTGTGGTTGGGCTGCTGGGGCCCGGTTGGCTGCGGAGCCCTCGGGAGGAGGCAGGAAGTCAGGGTGGGACGTGGGCGCGCTGAGACAGGAGGTGGCTACCTCAGCGAAGGGAGCCGAAACTGTGTGAGCAGCCAGGCTAGGCCAGGAGGACCATGTGAATGGGACCAGGGGGCTCCTGGGCTGGGCAGGTAAGGAGTACTGGGAACAGGGGTCTAGGGACTGCGGTGGGAGGCCCGACAGTGGGGGCTACATCTGGGCATGGGGCTGGGCCCCTGGGTATTCAGCAGCCCTACAGGCTGGGGGAGAGAAAAATCTTGCTGGAGGTCAGGTGGGTGGCAGCTGGTAAGGAGTAGCCTTACCTGAGTAGCCGTTGGTTCTTGCCCCTGCCACACCGTCCGCCACCGGTCCCTACCTCGCTGGGAGCCTTTTCTTGGAAATCTGGCACATGGACTGTCAGGTATTAAGAAGGCCTTCAGAAATCCCCAAGTCCAGGGGTGCCTGGGTGGCTCAGTCAGTTAAGCGTCTGCCTTCAGCTCAGGTCATGATCCTGGAGTCCCGGGATCGAGTCCCACATCGGGCTCCCTGCTCGGCAGGGAGTCTGCTTCTCCCTCTCCCTCTGCTTCTGCCCTCCCTCCTAACCCCACTCGTGCTCCCGCTCTCTCTCAAATAAATAAATAAATAAAATCTTTAAAAAAAAATCACCTAGTCCAGTCCCCGATCCCATGATGGATGAACTTCCTGAGGCCCAGAGAGGCCAAGCCCTCCCTCCCCACAGTCACTCAGTAAGGCAGAGGTAGAGCCATTCCCTGGGAGAAGGTGATGGCCTAGGCTAGGACTGCCCCCCATCCATGGGGCAGGGTGATGGTCAGGCTTGAGTCCCGGGACCCAGGAATCCTACTGATTGCTGGGGCAGATGCCAGTGACAAGAATCTTCTGAGTGAGAGACAGAGAGATTGAGAGAGAGAGGAATCACCCAGAACATCCGGCTGGACACCTGAGAAGTGATTTTAGCCTTGGTGACCAGCAGTGCTGGAGGGGTGGAAGTGTCTTCTGTTGGAAGCGGATGGATATGTGAGGGCATGTTTATCATCTGGGTTGGGGCCTCCAGGGCGGAAGTATCTGACCAGAGGCTGTTGAACCACCAGAGGGTGGTTGAAGGACAGAGAATGGAAAGGGAAGGGCAGAGGAAGGGCTATTTTTAACCGAGACAGGGGTCCAGTTGGCCCTGGGCTAGGAACGTCGGCACTTCCATCTGGAAAGTTGCCATTCCTGCCCCTGCCAAGTGTCACAGGTTGCCCCCTCCACTTGGTTCTTCTGGCTTCCATACCCACCCCCCCAATGTGTGTGTAGGACTAACTGGTCACTGCTTCAAACCCCAGGAAGGTAGAGGCCCAGGAAGGCATAGTCAGCTATCTGCCCACCCCCTCGTTTTCTTCTGAGCCTTCAGTTTAGGGGGGGCATCCCCATGTGAACCACACTTTCCAGGTTTCCCTTGCCCTACCCTCTGCCGTTGGTGTTTTTCTTGACACACAATTTCCACCTAGTCAGCATGTCCCAGCCTTTCCCTTGTCTCCAAGTCCAAGGCCCGCAGCCTTTTGTGGGGGCCGGAGAACACACTGGCTCTCCCTGTGCTTCAGGGGGGCTCATCTGCACCCTGAACCTGCACCCCTCTCATCCAGCATGTGCTGATAGATGACTCAGGGTCCATTGACCTCATGGCTCAGGGATGGAGGTTCTCCTCAAAGGGTAAAGGGCCAAGTGATAGGGCAAGAGAATGAGGTGAGGTTCTCAGAGAATAGAAGACTTCCCTCAGGGGATCTGGAAGGCTCCCTGGAAGAGTCAGCACAGTTCTGGGAAGGACAAAGGCCCATTTTGGAAAGCACTTATGACATGAGCCCAGGTCACTGTCCCTGGTTTCTGTTTCTTGGGTACCATGAGGGCATAACAAGACCAAACGCCAGAGAGTTAATGGGTATGATGTAGTGCAAAGAACACGGCTTTCAGGGTCAGGCTGACCCAGGTACAATGCCGCTTCTGCCATTTCCTTGAACAGTATTGACTTCACGTCTCCAGACTCCAAACTCTGTAGAGGCAATAATAAATGTCTCCCTTGCAGAATGCGTGTGGGGACTTTGTAATGTGCCAAGGGTTATACCCAACACATGGTAGGTGCTTATCAGAGGTTAGGCAGCCCTTCCTCCTGTAAATGGGGCACCAAAGGGAAGGCTTTTCACACCCAGAATTACACCTACTCAGCACCTTGGCCGGCCGGCGGACCACCCTCAGCACCTTGGCCGGCTGGCAGACCGCTCATTCCATCACACTTGTGGTGTGGCTTTGCAAATGAGCTTGTTTCCTGTATATAGTAGGTGTGAGAATTCGAGACTGAGCCACAGGGTCTGCCTTAGAGGAGAGTCACACACACACAACTTCACACACACACACACACACACACACACACACATCTCATCCCAAACACCAGACATATCATCAGAAAATGTCCGCGTGCAGATATGGGCAGAAGCAGAGGCAGGTTCTACACACACAACACACACTGGATATTACAAATCTGTACACACACCCCCAGGCTGATGACCTCAAGGTCAAGCTCAGTTCGGGGGAGCTGGGTGTGGGGGTGGGATGGGGGTAGGCAGGACCAAGATACCATCCAGGGACGTGG